TTTTTCCGTATCATATTAAATAATTTTTTAGAGTAATTTTTTGTCTCAAATTAGATGATGTTTTAAGTTTTTAAAATAAAATTAATTATGTTTTGTTGTTTTTGATTTTTTAAATTCTGTCGAGTAGTTTTTTATTGGTTAAATTGTATTAGAATTGGTGATTTTATGTTGAAAAATAAAAAATTAAATAGTTTTTTAATTTGTGTATAACAACTTTAAAAATCATTTAAAATGATACAGAAGAAGTATAGTTTATAATAACTACTAAATAATAGTGAAGACTGAACGGCTTGCTCATTTGTCTTTGATGTATGATGATCAACTCTTAGGGATGTGGTTGAAGGAGCAACAATGCGTAGATAAGATCGTTCCAAACATCGGTAACCAGTGGCTGCAATCCTGTCGCTTTGTCGACACTTTTTTACCATCTGTGTTGGTTTTATCATAGACTGAAGGTTGTCCTTTTTCGCCGAAATTAGTCAAAAGGTTCAAATAGTTTGACAAGTTAGAGGAACAAAACTGAGAGGAATTGACTTTTTCGTTCATTTACTCTAAAAATCTACCACTTAAGATAAAATTGGTTTCCTCCTAATTTCATTTGATCATTGGCCACATTCTGTTTGTTTTTATTGGATTTCTTCTCTCCTTGTTCTCACACTAAACATGTAAAACCACTGTATAGAGCATTGCATTTAACAACTGTATGGAGTATAATAGTGTTATATCATCGTTTAATCATTTTCAGTGGCGGAGGTAGAGAAGGATTAGGGGAACATGTGACCCTACAAAATTAACATATTAAAAATTTTTAGTGTAAATTTGATTTAATTTGGTGAAATATTTGGTTAAAATTAGTATATGATCTCTGTAAATTTGTGTTCAAACTTCCAACTGTCTCCACTAATTCATATATTTTTCCATTTATTATTAATGTAGTATCAAATATTAGTTCTATAATATCAATTTTTTTTGTTTTGACCTCGGTAAAAATTATTTCTAGATCCGCCACTGATCATTGTGAATTCAGCCTTTGGTATCCGATCTGGTATTAGAAAATTTGCTTAAAATGAAGAATTCATAAAACTGTCAATGTTATGATATATCATTATGGTAAGAAAATTTTTTTGATTCTTATAATGGGAAAAAAACTCGTAAAGGACACTTTTTAAAAAGCAGAAGCATCAAAAGAAAACAGAGGATGTTGACGAAGAAACAAGAGTAAATTTGTCAGGTAAAATGTCTCAAGGGAAGAAGATTGAAAGGTTGACGAAGAGGGTTGACCAATAATGTCTGCAAGTCTTTTTTGTTTTTTTTCATTAGCAAATGGTTTTTCTACACAATATATATATTTTAAACATCTACTTTGAATCGTGACAACAAAAAAAAGAAAAAAAAACATCTACTTTGAATCTTTTACCATATCTTCATATTTGAATATTAACGAGAGATTTCAAGAAATGCCATTTTTCAAATGTTATTTTACAAAAATGCTACACTTTTGAAATCTTTACAAAAATACCACTTTTTCAAAATTATTTTTTCTTTATATCATTTATGTTTGGGTTAACTATGTTCTATTAGGGTTTAGTTATGAGGGTTTAGGGGGTTTTAGGGGTCAAAACATT